ACCTTTTTGTAGTACAAACATAATAGATTATAAGTAATGTAACATTTACCGTCTTCTAATTGTCGCAGTATTAATTAATATATCTTGCTACAGAACATTAAACAATATAAAAATTTTTTCTTATTTTCAGAATTATATATATTAATATATTAATTTCTTTACATAGCATGTGCTTTTTATTTACGTGCATGATATTGCACTTTAAATATACAAACATAATTTAACCCCACAAGTAATCTATTATAAACTATTATATGTTAATAAAAATCCGACTTTATTTCATGAACAACTGGCGCTAATTATTACCTATGTTAAAATTCGTAAACTAGTTTACGAATAAGTAGCATCAAAATTTCGACTCGGGCTGTATTACAGATTTTAAATATAAGTAATAAATAATTTTTATTGTTATAAAATAAAAGTTTACTTTATAATCAACAGTAACGTAAGTATTAAACAACACAGATAGTTAGTAGATTTTATACATTTAAATAAAAAAGCACACTATTGTGAAAATATATATCTGTGAAGTGCATCATAAGGCTTTTGACGAAAATTATATTTTATGTCAATTAGAAAATTGCGACAATTAATAACTTTTTTTTTTAATAGCACCGATAACGAACGATGGCTAGAACAAATTACAAAATATAGTTATAACATAAATCGGGTATAATTGTGCATAAGTTGGATAAAAAGTAAAGAATATATTAAAAAGAAATAAAACAAAATAACATTTTATGTGCAAACAATATTTCAAATTTGTACAAACAGAAAAAAAACGAGCCTTAAGTCATAATTGTTTAAAATTACGCTGGCTGAAAATTAGCGTTAACAACATTATCAGACCATTTTCGATATATGTATGAATATTGCGAGACTAACTCCAAGTGCCTCGGTGGCCTAACAGAGAAGACGATGGCACGGAAAGCCGGAGATTCCAAGTTCGACTCCTGGCCGAGGAGTTTTTTTCGCAATATTTTAAAATTAGTTAGAAGAGTATCCGGGGTCTCTCATATGTGAGATGCAAATCCAGCATCTCGTACGAATTTAAGAATTGAGATTTCAATTAAAAAAACACTCACTTGTAAAAATTTACAAGTTGAATTCGTTACATGTATATACATATATGTATACACGTACAGTTTCCGCTCAACATCTTGGAAATGGCTCGTGTAAGGCCTTATATATTTCTTGTTATAATAACATACTTGTTTTTTGCAAGATCTTGTATATGCCACTTTAATTCAGAATTAACAATATCTTTGCATTTTACACCATCGAGAATACATGTCCATTTTAAAACTTTGTAATATAACTGATTATTGACATTATTTTTGGAAGAAGGTGTATGCAACGTATTATCAAGAAATTTATTCACTAAGTCCAGGATTTTATTCTATAAAAATGTGATATATTAGAGGTAGAAGGCACAAGGCACAAAAGGCTAAATATAAATTATTCTTTCACTAGTAAAAATATATATATAAATCATATTTCAACAGGATAAAAAATACTAATTACTTTTCCAACTTAGTATTAACTTACTGTGTTTCCTCTGATTGCTGAACATATGAAAAAACCGTTGCAACTTTCTCTAAAATACAATTATATTTTGCGTGTATCCAATATTTTCCACTTTGTAAATATATTTCTTTAAGTATTTATTTTAATATTTTCTTCAGGAAAAGGATTGTGATATCTAAGCTGTTGAATTGATCTTTTGGAAAGAATAACACCGAATTTATTTTCAAAAACAAAGAAGTAAAATTATTGTGTATATTACTAATAATAGAAATTTCCGGTTTATCGCAGTAACGTCCGAAATATAATCTTATCCTTTCTAAAATACATGTAACGTTTATTTCGACGCGAGATTCAACGTTGAGAGAGTTATTTTGTAGTTTTAGAAAAATATATTCACTTCATAAGATATCGGTTGTATGCACTTGTCATAGAATATCGGTTGTAATTCTTCAGATAAACTCTCATCAGTGGAAGAATCAATTCCGGTTAGAAATACTAAGCACAAACTTCCAAAGAATAGAAGCATTTTTGTACTGTGAATCTATAAAAGTAATGTATTTGTTTTTATTTGTTGAACAAGAACTATGCAAATAAAAACACAACAAATGGATTTAAATTGTACAGAATAAATGGTTGCGTTCAGCAGAACAAGCTGGTTTTAGCAATTAAACATGATTGGCTCTTATTTTTAAAACCAATTACTCTATATCGAGTATTGACAAGACAACAACTCAGCAATTGTTTTGCTAAACGCGGCCATAGATTGCTTTTTTCAAAAACTTTTTTCAAAACTTGTCAAGAATAGATGTGTATTGTGATATTTTTATAAGAATGTTTATCTTTATTTTGCGATGTCTTTATGTTTACCACGTACACACGTACACATGTGTACAAATACACATACACTCACATAATATTTGTCGTATAATTGTGTTGTTATTATCATGTGACATATAGAAGGACGATTGAAGACAGAAAAGTACAAAGTGTGCTGAACATATATGACAAAATATTATTTGAAGAAACAAAGCTATACTTTACAGAAAATTGTCCACATTTTCGTGCACGTTTCAATTATATAGTTTGTCACACGTTGCAAATTAAATCAGTATAAAAAAAATATTTTTAAATCGTAGTAATATTCATGTAATATTAATGTATAGAGTATTGACAAATATTATGAGTCGTCCACTAAGTAAGAAAATAAAATAGATATATAATATAAAATAATTTAAATAGGTCTGTTGCGAGCTAACAAAAGTTCTTAAATTTTTATTAGATGTGAGGTAATATAAAGTTATAATTTAAAGTTATAATTTAAAACAAACGTTTCGGCTCTTACTTGAGCCTTCTTCAGTGTAACAAAAAAATATATATAATAACACATCATGTCGCAAGATCGCAAAAACAATGGAGAATTTGATGTTAAGAATTGAAATCGAAAGATCTTACATTTGGAAGTCCATCGTAGGATGTAATATTGATGTTAGACTTCCTGAAAAGGTCATGTAGTATATAGTTACGCACAATAACATAATAGCACAGTTAAAACGCTTTAAACTTACAAATACTGAAATCGAGAATCAAACAGTGAACTTCAGTATTTGTAAGTTTAAAAGAATTTTTTGTAGTATTAAATCAATTTTTAATTTTTTACTTCATAAAGTTAAAATATATAGGTCGTAGTTATTTTGTGCCAAGTTTCAAAACAGTTGATTAAAAACAGGTGTATCGGAGGTGTTGCCGGCGCGAATAACGCGAACTACTACCGTGCCTCGTGATTCTCTCTTTCTCTCTCTAACTCACACTTTCTGTCTATTTTTTTCTTCTGTCAACGCGCTCGTATATGTATGCCATCTCGTAGCAGGCATACGAACATGCACACAATTTGGTCTAGGACGACTATCATGACGTTTCTGAATGTAAATTTTACACACATTTTCGTTTATCTTCCATTATCTCTTCTTCTTTCTTCTTTGCTTCTATGGCTCACGCCCCTGCGAGAGAGGAGCAAACGCCAGTCTACTGATATACATTCTCAGAACGAATGTGGGGGGGGGG